GGCACCCTGGGCCCTCTGGATGCCTTCACTGCAACCCTCGTGCCCCCTTTAGGGTGACTACCTCCAAAACCCCTTTCATGAGCTATCCTGACTTCAAGCAACACAAACCCAAGAAATGAAGGCCAACACCTGAAAAACTCCAATCTAGTGGCATGGTTCTTAGTGTCCCTTCTTATCTGCTGTAACTGAGACTAGGAAGAGGTTCTTCCAGACAGGAGCATCCGTGAGCCCCTAATCCACTAGCAAAGTACTAGTTCCGGAGCTCCGGGTGCTCCAGAGAGACCAGTAGCATTGCTTCCCTCAGAACTGGCCCCGTGTTGTGGAAGAATCTCCTTCACCTACTCCCAGGTTAAAGATAAAAAACCCCAAAACACTATTCAAATAATAAATAAAATAATGATTTAAACTGCCATTAAGTTGGGGATTCTGACTACGATCTCATTAAGGGGTTCCTGGAATCATCTGGCCTGATGGTTTTCAACCTCCTGCATGAAGCTCTAGAGTTTGGGGATTGGGGACCTTCAGAGACAATCTTGTTCGTCAAGAAGGAGGCAGAAACGAGAAAGAACAATGATGAATCTGTAAAGCAGCTCATAACATGGATGGAACTGGAGGACATTATGCTGAGCGAAATAAGTCAATCACAAAAGGGCAAATATTGTACGAGACCTCTACTGTAAAAACTCACTAAAAAGTTTACACAAAAAGACAATCTTTGTTGGTTACGAGGGATGGGAGGGGTGGGAGAGGGTAAAAAAAGGAGGCAGAACAAGGCAATTCTGCTTTTAGTTTGCCATTTCAGGGCAAGGCGTACAATTTCTTTTTTTTTAAAGCTGCCCAAAAAAGTTCTTGTTATTGATTTCGTCTGACTTCTTTTGGTGTGGAAAAGAGATAAAGAGCTTTATCAAGATCACCCAGTAGCAGATCCAGACCCAAGTCCACTGCTTGTTAAAGACAACATCAGATAAGAGATGGGGAGAAAAGGGGACACTGCCAACCACCTCTCACTCACAACTCACCTCTGAAAGGCAAGTGTCCAACCTAGAAAATAGAAAAGCAGGTAAGCCACAACCACTCCAAATCTTCTCAAGCTGCATTAGAAAAAGCACGTAATCTTTGTTGCAAGTATCCTCTTGAACCCAGAAGCACCAGTGAGAAGGAAAAGTGGAAAGAGGGGTGAAGGTGTGAGGAGTAGAATGGGTCCTAATTCCATCTGAGAGCACTCCTTATTAAAGAGAACAGACAGATATTCCGGTATGATCTTGTGTTAACCTGGTAACATTTTCAAAGACCCTGTTTCCAAACAAGACACGCACAAACAAGGTACAGGGATTAGGACTTCAACATATCTTTTTGAGGGACACAATTTAATCCATAGCAGATGGAGACCCAGGGTGACCTTGTGGCTGATGAGATTACTTTGTCCCCATGTGTTCTTGGCGTGAACTCTACCTCCAAAGGCCATCAATGATTCTCTCCTTGTGACCTTAAATCTCTTGATCCACCTTCTCAATTACACTTCCCCTCTCACATCTTCACTCTTTCACTAACCAATGTAGGCAGACACTTGTCTCTACCCATCACCCACAAGCCCTTTGCCTGGTCTCCTATCTCTAAGGGTAGCAGGGAAGTGCTCCAAGGAGCCCAGCTGATTGGCCTGGATGGGGTACAGGGCGGCAGGTAGTAGCCAGAAGGAATGGGCATGTCTTTCACCTCCCAAAAGCAAATAAGGCCCCTGAAATAATTACTTCTGCAAAGAGTAAACAAGAACGTTTGCTTTTTAAAAACAATTACGTATGTGCGTGTCTGTACATATATATTATTGTTACACGTGCATGCTTGTAGGACAGAAAACTGTCCCATAGAGTTTTCTAGGCTATAATCTTTTACAACAGCAGATTGCCATGTCTTTTTCCATCAGAGCTTCTGGGTGGATTTGAACTGCCAACCTTTCATTTAGCAGCCGAGCACTTAACCGTTGCACCATATGTGTGTGTGTATATATATATATATATATATATGTATATGGAGTCCTTGGAGTGGTGCACATGGCTAATGTGCTCATTGCTAACCAAGAGGTTGGAAGTTCAAGTCCACCCAGAGGTGCCTCAGAAGGCCTGGTGATCTACTTCCAAAAAATCAGCCATTAAAAACCCTATAGAGCACAGTTCTGTTCTGAAACAGACGGTGTTGCCGTGAGTCAGAATTAACACGATGGCAAACACATATATTTTCCCCCCTATACCTCCATGTGTCAGTTATTCTCCATTTGCTCCCACTCCTATCCTTACCCTGGATTCATTCCCCACCTTTGTGCCCCAAGATGCTGACCTATGAACTGGACTATGGGACAAAATTATACTCGTGAAGAGTGTGCTTCTTAACTCAAGTAGATACATGAGACTAAATAGGCAGCTTCTGTCCAGAGGTGAGATGAGAAGGCAGAGAGGGTTAGGAGCTGGTT